AATAGAAAAGAACTGAACAGGCACAACTTCTAGAAACACTAATTAGTTTACTTATGGTTATGCATACAATATAAAAATTGCAAATATAGGAATAAGAAAAAAAATTTTAATTTATTTTAAAATAATTTGTTTATAATGTGAACGATTTTCATAATATTATTATCATAAACCAGTAACAGTAAATCTCGCCTTCAATTTGGTAATTATAACTTACCGATCGAGTAACATTTACCAAAGTTATAGCAAAAAACTTAAGTGTACCTCCATTTTTGTTTTTCTAAAAAAAAAAAATCTCTTCAATTTTATAAATAACCTTTAAGTGAAAGAACCGGATTACAGAAAAGTGTGCCAGGGAGTGACTTTTTTCGTTCAAGCTGAATGCATAGCAATATCGTCCAATTAAAGAGTCATCAAAAGGATTTCCCAGGATATGTTAAAGACTATTGCATTTACCTACAGTCACTTTTTCAAATAATGGAATTAACTAAAATATTTAAGTATGTATGTATGTATATCTAACCACTTATTGCACTTTCCCTACTTGAAACTACTATTAACTTCTCAAACGATTCCTAATCTTTGACAATACATGTTAGACTTCATTCGCCATGATCTTGAAAACTAACCAAATCGGCGTGACCAAGCCCATGGTCCTATTAATATTTTATTAACATCCGAAAGCATTAAAACGTTTGAAATAAATCTCGTCTCACTGTTTTGTATTTTTCGCTTGGTTGCTGAGGTAATGAAGAATTGAAAATTCATAACGGAAAATTATATTTTTTGTAAGTTTTATCTTAATATCTTAATAACTTGTAGACTTATTGAAAAATGATAAATGAACGTGAGGTACTAAGTTTAATGACCTTTAATTTTATATATCGTTCTGTTTTTAACAAATAACGAATTCCACAGATATTACAAGCCAAAATTTTATTTTCAAAATTTATACACTTTGATTCAATTGCGCGGGCTTAAGATGAGTTCTAACAAATAAATAAATATTACTATTGCAATACGGTCAAATTCCTTTTATTTTTCCCATACAAAATCGACCCAGCCTACTAAATAGGTAGATATCGAAAATAAATTATTATTTTCCACGAATGAAAGTTTTGAACAAAATTCTGTTTTCAAAGTCGTGGCTGCCAGCCAAATCGGATCAGAATATTGTTATTTTTTTAAAAAGCACCCCATTTTTTATAAGCAATTGAATCTCTGATAGTAAGTAATTCTTATCTAATTAAAGGTCAGACCTATAGCTTTTTAATTATTTGAGCATCAATTCTCTTTATAGCCAGACGTTGATCATTTCTGCTGAAAATCCCTCTTGAAGGAGCTTACTCTATTACTTGAAATATCAAAGAAGGGAGACTTAGGGGGTCAGTTTTACCACAGAAGCTTTTAGCCAAGGATCCAATGTATATCGCTATGACAAAAATATTGCCCGACAAGTAGATAAAATAACCGTTTTTAAAATTTTTGCTACAAATAAATTCCCCAAACAGCCCCCTTTGAAATGATTGAAACGAATATATGTAACATCGAAAGCAAATCACGAAAATTTGGTTAACAATTAAGGTGCACACTTTCTTCTTTTGGATCTAGAAGTTTTTAAGATTGGACCAAAAAAAAATCATAATAAAGAAAGAAATCAATGCACGTATTTCAAGCACAGAAAAAAAATTAAAAGGACTATGTTCTCTTTGACGTACGTCAAAGGTCAAGTAGAAGTGGGAACTTGTATGACTGCCTATTGGATAGCTCGGTTATATAGCTTTAAGAAATACTATGTTTAAAGACATTTTTATCAAAGTTGATAAATATGACATTTGATCAGTTTTGTTACACAAGTACTACCACGGCCACAGGCAAAAATATTGGCTACAATTTTTTCATTTTGTTTGCCAGATATACGTTTTATAGGCGCACTTGCTCAACATTCGCATTCGCAAAAGCTCCGCATTGATTATTGTTAATGCGAAAGCGAAAGCGATTGTTAACATTAATGCGGAAGCTCCGCGGTTGCGAATGCGAATATTCGCAACAACCCTATAGTAGTCCATGATAAAAAAATAGGAAGGTAGAACCGCTGAGAGGAATTTTTCAAATTCTTGACGTTTGCAAGCAATTTAATTTTAAAATTTTACACAAACTCGAACACACATTCCCATTTTCAATCTCATACAACAACACCTTTGAACATTTGCTTTTTTTTACTCTCAATTTTATATTATTTTAAAATGTTAGCAAATTTCAAAAAAAAAAAATCTTGACCGACGAATTGAGAGAACGAGCGCACTTGTGCACAAGGGTATATTAATTTTTAAAAATAAAAATGTTAATAAGCCAAAATAACATTGACAAATACATAGTTTAGGAAGAGCCTGCCTGAAACTATACAAAAAAGCAAATAAGCAAATTGTATAGAATTGACAACAAGAACCACGCTGTCGAGTTTAAATAGCGGCAAATCAGCTGCACTTGATAGTAGTTGGTTGAATAAGGAAAAATGAATTAACAACAAGAGTTTACGGGATGTACATAGCTCAGTGGTTAACGCTTCTGACTTTGAACATCGATTACGCAGGTTCGATCCCTGCTGAAGTCTAGAAAAAAGAAGTCTGATGAAGAGATGTGGTGATCTCCGAAATGGCAGCTATAACTTCTACCACTTAGACTTTGTTGCTTTTTCAATTTTTCCTAATAAACAATCGTGGTACAAAGCTCATTAAAAATATTAAAAATAACAAGTAAGAAAGTCTAAGTTCGGGCGGAGCCGAACATTAAATACCCGGCGCACGTATTAAATATGTGTTTTTGAACTTACCGAAAGCTACCGCTAGATGATAAGCCGGGGTGTATCAATTTTGAGTAAATTAGCGTCCTTAAATTTCGAAATATTGCAGTTTCAAGCATTTCTGAAATTTACCGTTATATGTAAAGCGGCCTCAATTTTAGTCCACTTTCAATAATTTTCAACCTTTTGCTTTTATGTGGCAAGCACAATAACCATACCGAGTTTGGTACAAATTGGTAGCACGGTTACCGAGATACATATATGTGATCATAAGTGGGCGGTGCCTCGCCCATTTTTCAAAATTGTATCCTAAACGTATTTCTTGGTAAAGAATTGTTGCAAGCAACAAATTTGAATAAATTAGCTTTAATATTTACTGATTTATCGAAGATTTTGTATTTCTCTAAATTACCGTGATATGGGATGTGGGCGTGGTTATGTTGTGCCAAGGCCAACAAATATGCCAAGTTTTGAAGAAATTGGTGCAGTGGTAACCAAGATATACACATGTAACCATAAGTGGGCGTGGCTACGCCCATTTTCTGAAAATGTATAATATTCTTATTTTTCGTCTAAAACTTATTGTAAATATCAATTTTGAAAATATCAATTTGGAAAAATGCCGCCCCTATGCCGATGTTCAATTTTGTGCCGATACTAGCCGATGCCGATGCCGATTAATCGGTCGGACTCTAATAAAGAGTACGTTTCACGTATGTCATAATCCGAAAAAATGTTTTTTTTACGTGGCGTAATACAACATCGTATTCGAATTCGATTAAAGAATGATTAGAAAAACTGCTGGGCTCGAATCGCCACATACGATATCGTACTATTCGTCACGTAAAAACACATTTTTCGGATTATGACATACGTGAACGTACTCTTTGTCCCATTCAGCTTATACTGCCTGACGTATCACGTAATTTTCTTTCGTATCGTTTTCGATACGTGAACGGATATTACGATTCGAGCCCAGTACACATTATAAATCAATTAGAATTCGACGTTAGATATCGAGAACTAAGTCCCATTATTGTAGAGAATTCTATAGTTCTCAACAGTCTCTCTACTCATCTTTTAACCATCTACCTTAGAGAAACACATTCGAATTCGAATCGCTTTCTTATCGTTATCTGGCCTAAATGTTCGTTGGGTAGCGCCAATTCTTCAAAACACCGCATGGTGGTATTATAGCGGTCTTGGAAGTACCACTTATTTACTGCAAAAATCTTCACTGTTCAACATACGCATTTCCTTGGAAAGTAATCTTCGAGAGGAACCCTGAGATAAGGTAAAAGGTTCATATAGAAAATAAATAACACACATGTTTAGCAATTGCTTTATAACATACATATGTATGTACAAATCTTCTGTTGAGCATATACCATATTTTATTGAAAAAATAATAACTTTAACTTTGGTAACAATCGCTTTGCCACGGTTACGTACACCTTTTATTAAACACGAGTTTGAACATATTCAAAAGCTATGTACGGTATACATAAATACACATTGCAGACAAGTATTTACAAGAAAAAAAAACTAAAAAATCATATATACATGCTTCGCCTTAAAGTATTACTGCTTTCGTCAAACAGATTCCACATTACGCTACTGCTCATCTTTAGTAACACAGCGAATATGTCTCTTTAATCCTGATATGCGACAATTATTTGTGCTAGACATATAGATAGGCGACAGACTTGGTGGTTTCGTCAAAGAGATTCCACATTACGTTACTGCTCATCTTTAGTAGCACTGTGGGAATGTCTCTTTAATCCTGATATGCGACAATTATTTTTGCTCGACATATAAATAGGCGAAAGACTGGGTGGTTTGCCATACATACGCAGCCGTTCAATACGCTGTCTTGGTGTAGGTTTCGATTCTATTTTAGTTACATTACTACAAGATGAATTAGATAATCTACTAGCGTTCAACGATGATGCGCTTTTATTTAAAGTTTCATTATCCCAGTCGATGCGTTTTAATGATGCTTCCTTTATTGGCGTAGTTGTTTCTGTTGTTGTTGTTAGAGAAGCTGCTTCCAACTCTGCTCGCTTACTGGCTCGTGTACGCATGCGTGTTTCTTGTTGTAATGGCGGATGTGGCGTGCTGGTGCTCACGCAAGCCGAAGCAAAAAACTCTCGAAGGTTTGGTGTTTTGGGTGGTGATTTGAGTTCAGCAATATTGCCTATTTTCGTTGGAGTTTTTACACCAACACTTTCATCCTTCAGCTCGTTAGGTCGTTGAATAATTTTTGCATTCGATTTTTTCCGTTTATTCAAAGAGAGTAGATTCTTGCGCGCTATTATACTACGACTAGCTGCGTAATCGGGCGGAGTTTTTACAGCCAATTCACTCAAGCTGGAACGTGTAACTGATTGTTGTATATGAGCTAGAGGACTTCGTTGAAGGCCAACAGATTTACAAATTAGTTTTGGTGTATGTTGGGGGGGAAGATGAAAGCTCCTCACCGTTTGGTACAAGATCTATGTCATCGCGTTTTCTTTTGCTCGAAACATTTAATTGTGATTCCTGCTCAACTTTAGATACATCATCCGCGTCAAGCAGTGGCCATTCAGAAAACACCACGTTTTCCAACGGTTCGGCTTTGGTAGCGTTTTCTGAATTTTTCAAACTTGCTGCCGATGGTAGCGCGTCACTTAGTTTTGGCAAGTTCTCAAGAATAGCGGCAGCTTTTTGTTTAGCTAATTCTGACACCAAAATTGGTTTTTTAGATGCCGTTGAAAATCCAGGAAGACCTTCGTTACTTGTGGTACTAGCCTTTACTTCAGTTTGTGCTTCCTCACCCTCCATGGGCCACTCACTGAATTGCATGTTTCCTATGCACTCTTCGGGGATATGGTCAACATTTTCATAAGGCACATCTTGCATGATCACTGCAGCACGCTTTTGTGCTTCTTCAGATATACGTATAGCTTTGCTAGAAGCAGTTCGAAAGCCTGCACAAGATATGGAAGTGTTCGGCGCGTTTGTTGGAGCTTCATTATTCGTTTCTACAATTACATTTAATTCCGGTAGATGCTCTAATATCTTTAAGGCACGTTCTTGTGCTTCCTTAGATATTTTTATTGCTTTGCTTGAAGCTGTTGTAAATCCTATAAACGATTCTTTTTCTATTGCTGCCCTGGTCAAGGAAGTGCGCTCATGCTGTAATGGCGGCAGCTGTTCAAGGATTTTGGCAGCATGCTGTTTTGCTTCGCTTGAAATCGTAATTTTCTTATTTGACGCCGTACAGAAACCAACCAAACTTGGCATTTCCTTTTTTTCTATTGTCAATCCACCATCTAAATTAGTGGAAGGGTTGGTGCGATTCTCCGTGGATGTATCCTGTGAGGATTCTGAAGTTTTATCAACGATTTTTTCTACTACGTGTTTCGAAATTGTTATAGTTTGATTTAGAGAATGCTGAGGCTCTTCTCTTTCATCATTCATAGTGAAGTCATCTGTGCAACTAGTGTTTGTCGGTAGCGGGGGCAGCTCTTGCAATATTTCGTTTGCACGAGCTTTTGCTTCCATAGATATTTCAACTGTTTTATTGGACGCGGTACGAAAACATGTTGCTGAATCTGCATTCAACTCCAGGTTATACATTAATTCGTCGGAGTTTCCTTTGTACAATTTTGACTTTGAAACTGCATCTAAGGCTTCTTCCATGTCGAAATTTGCAAAAAAATCACACTCATCATTCCATTCGTCATCCTCGTTCAAACTATCTACTTCATGTACTATGAAATAAATAGAAAATAAAAATTATTTAATCAATAATTAATTTAATTTCCAAACATACCTTGACTTCGAACAATATCACAGTTTACTGCTGATATGGGTTTCATACCGTCGCTAGTCTCTTCATCCTCACTTGGAAATCCCTTAAAATCCTCTTCAGCTGAAATATGCCCAAGATGACTGGTCAAACATTGTTTATTTATTTCCTCCGATTCATCTTTCTGAAAATTGTTAGTATTTTCCTTTATTGCTGTGTAATATATTCCTGAACTTTTATCTGCAACGGATTGCACCACATTTTGGTCTTTATTTTGAACTAACTCTAGCGACTTCATTTCTTCACAAGTCTCTGGTTTTCTATCCACTCCCCCCGATAATTCCGAAAAGTAGGCACTCAAATTTTGTAAGTTCTCGCACAGCTTTTGGGAATTCTGCAAATAGACGCCTTCTTCGGAAACTGCTTCTAGCCTTAGTTGAGTATGATCTTCTTGCACCGATAGATCACTGTCATTGCTCAGTAAATCATCATCCATGGCACAATGCTTCTCTCTATCGGGTGATTGGACATATTGCTCAGCAATATTTTTTCGCGAAAATTTATGGTCTTGTCGACGTCTGCTATAAGTGCGCAGAGGTTCATTAGCAAATCTAAAATGAAAACTACTTTCTTCCGACGACTGCTGGGGCTCTGGCGATGCAGGCGAACTACAAAAATCTTCCAATATTAAGTCTACGATAGATTTTGGTTTTTGCCTCGAATCTGGTGTCACCGGCACATCAATATCTCCAGTTCTTTCTGGCTTAAATTTCGCTTTTTCTGTATTTTTTTCGGTTTCCTCACATACTTGCAACAGCTCTGAATCAGTGATTTCAAATACGTCTTTTGTGTTGCTTTTAGAAATAGTGTTATTTTCTATGGCGAATTTAGGAGGTTGAAACAACAAATTATTGCACGGTTCGAAGCCCTGCGTAGCTACAAAGCTGGTTGAGTTTCGCGAAAGCGGTCGGAAACGATCAGCAAGAAGGAGCAAACGTTGCTCTGCAAATGGATCATAATTGGCATCTATTTGGAATCGTGGTTTTTCAACGGGATATTGAAGGCATTGTGCTTTTGTATCATCATCCTCACATTCCTCCGAGTCATACATTACCAAAAGTGTACAGGATAGATCATCATGAATGGTTTCATCAATATTCGAAGCAGTCTTTTGATCGCTACATGTCGCCTCTGCTGGTCTTGTGAATGTTGCATTGAGTCTCTTGGTTTTTTCGATGAAGGCGCGATCTGTGTATGGAGCGATTCAATTTTTGCGGACTGGATTTAATGCTTTCATCAGCCATTGGAGGTCAATAAAACCACAACATAAACTACTGTGGTAAAACCGCGAAATAATTTCCTATAGCAGAAAATAAACAAATATTTCTCTCAAAAAACCACAATCTGTCAAACAGTTTGACTCAAACTACACTGCAAAAAATTATTTATAAAACTCATAAATAATAGGGAATTTAAGAGTGAAATGCACCATACAAGTGGCTTGTCAAACATACTTCAAACCTACTTTTCCCATTTCGCCACAAGAATGATAGAATACAAGATTGCGCCGTCCTGGGCGTTGACATTTGTGTACCACAAGTAAACAAAGAATAGAGCGAAAAGGAGAACGAGTTAAATCTTCCAGCTCACTTTACAGCGAAAAACTTGTTTTAATTTTGCTAAACGCGAAAATATTGCATTTTTCACCTAATCTATTAGAGAATAGGTAACATTTTAGTGCACTCCATTGCTTTGCAATTGAGGCTGCTTCAGCAAACGTTTTAGTGCACTCCATTGTTTTGCAATTAAGACTGCTGCAGAAAACTGCGGCAACATCTCAGCGGGATTGATTAGTTAACTTGCTAATGGTGGCTGCTTGGAGCAGAAGCAAAATCATTGTGAGGAAATGTTGTTAATGTTAATATAAAGAAACATTTCGGGAACGGTTTTGCCGTGCCCTATGTACACAAAATGCAGCGATTCGTCCCAGCGCTACACTTGCATCTACGCATCTTGCATCTTGATAGCTGTCGCAATTGAACACACAGCACTTCATTTTATTAGTTTTTACGCAGTATTCAACTCAAAAATCGCTCACAAATTGCAAATTAACACAATTTAAACTGATTTTTAACTTCTAATTCAAATTTCTCTTTCTCTGATTTGTAAACAAAGGTTTATTTACAAGTTATCACAACTGTCAAAATCGGCAAAACCAAAGTAGCGGTACCACTGACGGCGCCACCTTTGTTCGCTGCACCGTGTCGATGTAGGCATATGCATGAGTATGCTCACATAAAAAACGTTTGAAGCAAAGCAAAGCAAAATCTTGGGCAACTCTCAACTTTTGTCCTTTTTGGCAATCAGCTGTCTATATGTATTTTTTCTCGTGCGCTTGCATTTGCATTTAATGACAAAAACAGGGTAAATATGAATTTTTATTGCTATTATTAATGCATATTATTATATTGTTATCTATTTTACAGATACAAAAGATGGAGGAAAAGGAGAACGCAAAAGCTGTCAAAGCATTTATTGTAGCATACCTTCTGCGTTTCACGCTTTGTTGTCAAAGTTTGAACCGTCAAACGAAGCGAGGAAAGCTCTATGTGAATGGCCCTTAATTACGCCAAGCTTGAAAATGAGCACCGTGTTGTCGAATGTAAACGGAGTATAAAAAATGGAATCGGAAAGTCTTTATAAATCGATTAAATCGATTTAAAAACAGTATATCTAGTGAGCACTTTCTTTGCTCGCAAGCAAGTTCGTGGCTTCAGTCAGCAATTCGTTTTTTTGCATGTAATTTAAAAGAAAAATACCTAATAAGTAAAATAAACTAAATTAAATTGAACAAATGCCGCTAATTTCAGGGTGGAGAACCGGGAAGTAGCAAAGGAAGTCCAGAACTTTCAATTTGTATAGAAATTAGCCGAGAAAAAAATGCATACGATAAGTTGCCCAAAAGTGGAGTGATGAAATTATAAATAAAAAGGAATAAAAAGAAAGGCGGACAGAGCAGACAAGGAAATAAAATAATCAAACAAAGGAAAGTGAAGTGAAAGAGGGCAAAGCAACGACCGAAGAAACGATTTTTTTGCACGCCAGTAAACGAAGACGAAAAGCGAAGCGAACTAGCGAGCGAGCAAGTTTTCGATCAGTTAAAAATTGTTAATGTGGTCGGAAAAGGAGCACATTTAAAAAAACTAAAATTTGCTAGTTTGACATTGAACGGTGCACAAAATATAATAGGTAGATATTCAATTAGCATTTGTCTTTTCACATTTCATTCCGAACTAGATTTTTATTACATATTGATTTCGCGAACCAGTGGATTGGAGTACGTGTCGAATTATAAGCAAAGCGAAACTGTGTAACACACCAGCAATTGAACGTGTGCCGGTGCTCCACTAAAAAGTCAAGATTCTTAGCTACGGCAGCAATTCCTACAATAACGCTTATAACAGCTCAATCGCCGCAGCCACGCTCCACAAGCAGCCCGCAGTGCCGCCACTACCACCCCCAATTATGTTTGTCAATTCGATGACGTTTCGCGGCAATCCCGCTCCCAACCATCATTACGCAGGCCACCCATTGGCCACAGCACATCATCCGCAACAACCGCAATTGCATCATCATGCCGCCACAGGACAAGCTGGCGGACCGATGGCACATCATCCATCGGCAGCGCATGGTACGCATCCAGGAAGCCATCCCGGAACGTCTAATAACAATATTCATCATGCCGCCTCGGCCATGAGCCGTCATGCACAGCATGCACCAATGGGAATGGGTAGTGGAAACATCACTTCAATGTCGCCTCATATGCCTAACAATGGCAGCGGCATGCCCGGAAGCGGTAATGGTAGCGGTGGCAGTTCTAGCTCTGCAGATAGTGGTAAAATTTATATTAAAAATTTGGAACGCTCCATTGACAACAAAGCTGTCTATGATACATTCTCGGTTTTTGGCAACATACTAAATTGCAATGTAGCCAAAGATGAGGATGGCAATTCACGAGGATATGGTTTTGTGCATTTCGATTCTGAAGAAGCAGCACGCACTGCCATTGAAAAGGTTAACGGCATGCTGTGCAACAATCAGAAGGTGCATGTCGTGAAATTTATACCACGTCGCGATAGGGAGCAGGAGAAAGCTACACAGTTTAGGAATTTATATGTGAAGAATCTGAACGAAGATTTTACTGACCAGCATTTGCGTGAAATGTTCGAGCCGTATGGACGCATAACAAGTCATAAGGTAATTATTATTATTATTTTTTTTTTTGAACGCGCAAGTGTCGGATAATAATATTTACACATAGTGAATAAATGAGATGTGGATTCATGTAATTTGGTGTTATGGCATATCCTCTTTATACGTCCTTTCAACTCTTTACCTTTGCTTCCCTAAACTTTCCTCTGTATCCGCTTTTTCCTGTTACACAATTTTTTCTAAGTCGTTCTATGCCCTGCTTTATTCTGTTTTTTTTTTTCATGAGAATCGCAACAGCATAATGTTGCGCATGTCCTTGTTTATGTCTTGTCCCACCCCAAAAGGCACCCATGTTAATACCTAATAGTTTAGTTATTGGCATACATATCTACTTTGGTTAGCCCTTGGCTTGACAACTACTAGTACTGCTAATGATGCATATGTTATGGTTGATGGGACAGTATTAAATTTTACTAAATTGAATTTTCACGCCTCATAGGTATACATTTTGATATGGTTTATGCTTGGTGATTTGTATTAGGTGCATGTATTTATGGTTGAATTTTATGGAGGAAGTAAAGTTTGATAAGCAAAACAGTTTCACTTAGCACTAAAAATAAAACATAAAATCGAGTGAACAAATATTACTACGTACATAAATGTTTATAGCAGCAGTAACAACCCAGAGATACTGATAACTGCACCTTTTCTAATAGTACTTCAGAAAGCATCAAATATATTTCAGAAATCATCAATCAGAAATCAGAATTAGTCACGCGTACTTCAGAAACCGTTAATTGGACTTCAGATTAGTTAATTTTACTTCAGAAACCGCAAAATGTACTTCAGATTAGTCAATTGTTCTTCAGAAATCGAAAAATGTACTTCAGATTAGTCAATTGTTCTTCAGAAATCGAAAAATGTACTTCAGATTAATTAATTGTACCTCAGAACCCATAAAATGTACTTCAGATTAGTCAAATGTACTTCAGAATTGGATTTCAGATTAGTCAATTGTACATCAGAAACCATAAAATGTACTTCCGATTTGTAAATTGTACTTAAGAAACCGAAAAATTTACTTCAGAAACCGAGAAATGTACTTCAGAAACCACTTTTGTAAATTTACTTCAGGTGTTAAAGTAGTGCTCTACAATCCATTTAACATTACAGTCCACTTCTTCCAATGTAGGGACTATAACCCAAATCCTTCTCTTTTGAGAATATTGATATAACCAGTAATTATTTCTCTGAGGGTTATATATCCCTCCAGCAAACTTTATGAAAAAGACGTTTGCACGACAAAAGGAGAACTATGCAAATAAATATCGTCGTTTAAAGTGCAAAACCGCGTATCAACAAAATGCAAAACCGCGTATCAGCAAAATGCAAAACCGCGTATGTGAAGTTGTAGAAATTATTTTCTAGAGCGTAAAAACACTCATATTTCAAAATGGTTCTCTTTTTTATAAAGCAACCGCATTTCTGACTAGTATATTTCAGGACAAATGGATAAGGATTGAGCCAAGAGCTTGTGTGAGCAAATCCAATTTTTGGCAGCCAATGTCAGATACGCGGTTTTGTACTTTAAACGACGATATGTATGTATATAGGGCGTTCTTGAAAAGTTTTTTGAGATAGGTCATTTTCGAACTGCCTGCCGTGATATGTCGATCTTTCACTCAGCAGTCGATATAGCCTTTCGCTTAATGCTGATCTAAAAAAACGGAATTATCTTGGACCTCCTTTTTACAAAATATACACACTTTATTAATTAAAACTACATAATAATTGTTTCAGTTTCAAAATATCGCAATCGAATGTACGTATGTATGTATACAGTGCAAGCATAATGCTATATCTAATGCGATTTATTTACATGTAGTATGTACATACATACATACTTTGCATAATCTAATCTACTTGATATTCATGGTTGAGCGCTCATTTTTGGCGAAAATGTTATATGTTTCTGAAGTACAATTTAAAAATCTGAAGTACATTTTTCGGTTTCTGAAGTCCTTTTTCTGTTTCTAAAATACAATTCACTAATTTGAAGTACATTTTTCGGCTTCTGAAGAACAATTGACTAATCTGAAGTCCAATTAACGGTTTCTGAAGTACGTTTGACTAATCTGAAGTATATTTTACGGTTTCTGAAGTACAATTTACGATATCCGAAGTACAATTGGAAAAGGTGTAGACGCTACCCATTCCCACGACAGCCGGTTCTAAGTATAGGAATAACTCGGGTTTTACCCGACCAAGGGCTGTTGGTTCGGCGATCTAACCTCGTTTAGGAAATACTTCCTCAGAAGTTGTTCGTCCATAGGGCTACATTTGCTACGAATTCTTCGGCTCAGGGCTGTCATCGAGTCAAACCCAGGGCCAGAAACCTACACCTGCACCACATCATTTGTGGCCCCCTGCTGCTCAAACCGCAGCCTCCACGGCGAACCCCAGTCCACCTGAGCAGCTCTACACAAACACCACAGTACTACAACACAATAGACCACACCACAATCACGATGGACCACACAACCGCAAAACCACCCACACACCGCCGCCACCAACTTCTGGTTCCTCCTACAATCTGCGCGGTATGTCAGACCAGGATATTCCGTAACGTGACATCAGTCAAGTGCAACACCTGCCTTGGCTGGTGCCACTTTAGGGCATGTTCAGGTCTGCGTACCACGCGAGATTGGACGAGGAACTTCGAGGGCCCGTGTTGCGCCGCTCAGTCGCAAACCCCAGCTGCGACGATACCCACTATCACTACAGGGCGGCAACCTCCACAGCAGCGCACACGGCCTATGGTGGCAAGGCCATACACATCCCTCACTCCCCGCATAACTACAGATCAAGATCGAGGAGATAACCGTCTTCATGGGAAGGCATGGTCTATTGATAGCTGCGGTCCAAGAGAGGAAGTTGCACGGCAATTCAACATTGTGGAAGTGCACCGTCGAGATCGCAAGCGAGATAATGGTGGTGGCGTAGCGTTCATCACGCACCACACCGTGCAGTATCGTCTTATTGAAGCAGACATCGACCGCAGGGATACCACCCTAGAATGTCAGGGCATTGTTATCCGGTCAGGCGATGTTGATTTCGAAATATTCAACATATACATACCCCCTGTCACCTGCTGCCCGGCAGGATATCACCCTGATATAGGTGCGCTCCTCAGAGGTGAAAACCGTCTGCTCCTGCAGCTCGCTTCGTACTGGCAGGATGCATTACGGACCCCCGTCCAAACTTCCCTGCTGAAGCGGCTGTTCTAGCCGATGAACAACCTTCGTCAAGCCGATCCCGGAAACCCCCGTATTAAGGATCTGAATGCGGAGATTCGGCAGCTTGTGAACGTACATAAGCGGAAAAAGTGGGAAGAGCATCTGAAGACTTGCAACTTCATCTCTGGTGTGAGTAAGCTTTGGTCAAGCGTGAGGTCACTGTCCAATCCGACGAAGCAGGAGGACAGGGTCAAAATTTCTTTCGGCGACCATGCTTTATCGGACCCGGAGCGATGCGCGAGCTATTTTAGTCGGCAGTTCATACTGCATCATCCGGCGGACGAAACCAAGCGTCGAGTGACCAGAAGGCTGCACAAACTGCCAACAACTTGTGCCCCCTTGTTATATCCAGTCAAACACTCCGTTCAGCATCACTTCCCAAAAACTCTTTGGGAATTTGTATGCTGTTCCAATAACAATAACACCGGTCCTAAGGCAACAGAATTTAACTTGTGTCGAAATGTTATTATGTTTATTTCAGTCTATGATGTACATATATCCTACAGACTAGATAACAGAGATTTGGGTACAGATACACAAATACACAAATACATACCAAGAGGAATTTATACATTATTAGAGCTCTAAAGATTGGGGCGAACGAAAAATAATTCGCTTTGGCAATATCAACGTAAAACGGTAGATGGAACCGCAGGGCTCTGTGGGGAATATAGAAGGCCATTTGTTCAAGAAGAGCAGATATATTTAGTGGGAAATATTAAAATATTCCAAAGATTTCTAAAAAAAAATCTTTTTATTTAAAACCAGCTTCTTTTGAACATTCATTGAATTTCTTGACCCATATTCGTAACGAATTTACAACCAATTTTGTAACCGAACCGACCCAGTGTCATCACTTTTTTTTTTATACTGTATCACTTTCAATTGCCAATGCAAATAACTCAAAAAATTTTGCTTTTAGGTCATGCTCGATGAGGAAGGTCGTTCACGCCGTTTCGGTTTTGTGGCTTTTGAGAGTCCACAGTCAGCACTAGCCGCAGTTATTGGCCTAAATGGCAAGCAATTGGGTGACAATAAGTTTTTGTATGTAGCACGTGCTCTCAACAAGATCGAGCGGCAGCAGGAGATCAATCGAAAACTTGAAGAACGCAAACGGCAGAAGGCTGGACAAGTATTTTATTATTAAATAGCGGAGATGAAAGCAAAATAACAAAAAGAATTTGACAGTAAAAGTAATGAGAAATGGATTGTGAGCTAAAGATTGCGATTTGCGATTAATTAATTGTGGTGAGAATTTAAGATTATTGCCGAGCTCATGAAATGGTAAGATTAGAAGAAAGTTGTCATGAAGCGTTAGTGAGTAAGCTTCAAAAATGTAGTTGATACGACTTAGGTTGGAAGAATTTCAAAACAAAAATGATAAGTAAGAATTTCGTAAGAGAATGTCGATGCAACTTTATTGAAAAAAAATAATTCGAATACACATATATAATTAAGAATTACATTAAAAATACAAAAAAAAAAATATTAAGCAAAAAGTAAAACCTAAACACACACATACAACAAATACATATATGTACATGTAGAAATGTAAACTTTAAAGCTAAAATTATGGAATTTCCCTTTTTGATTTCGATGTTAAAAGCAAGTTTACATTAGTAAAAAAACATAAATTAAAGAAAACTCTAAAAAAGAATGCTTATTGTTAAAATTTAACGAATTAAAAAAATATTCTACAAAAAAAAAATACAACTGCATAAGTAAAAACAAAAACGTTGTATAGAAACGCGGTGATTTACTGGCAGTTTAACGTTGGTTACACAGTAGAACTTATGGATGTCACATTGAGTAGAGCTCAATGATTTGCAAATAAAAAAAATTTAAAATTCCACTTCAAATTAAATGGCATATGTATGTCCCTATTAATATATTACTATTATATAGCAACTATGTATAACAAATATTCATGCACTTCTTGAATACACCATAATGTACACAAACAAACAAAAAAACACCTCACCCCATTCACTCATACTTGAACACAAATCAATATTTTTTTGCTTCGATAATTGTAAAGTTTAATTTTTCGTCACAAATCGGCAAAAAACAAATACCTACAACACTGATTGTACGGGCGTCATATAAATTTCAGAAATATAAAAAAAATATGCTAATACATATAATCAAGAGAAGTACATTATTATTAAATTACTCACTGTTCAAAACTAAGAATATACCCCAATTCCGCATTATGTATAAGAGTATTTAATTGTATTGCAAGAAACAGAATCGAAACATCAGAAAAATGGCTAAGTGCGAGAAATAACAACAAAAGATGTCTGAAGACCATAAAGATTAACAAAAAATGTCGAGAATAACAAGAAAAATTTCAAGTAAAAAATGCGACCAATTTTAAGGTTAGTTGTATAACATGTAATTTAAAGGCAAATGCCAAAAAAAAAACAAAAATAAATAAAATGACGTAAAACTAAAGAAACTGCAATGGTGTAAAAACAAGAACTTAGTTATGTGTAAAAAAGAAAAACAACAAAATGAATGGACAACTGTTAACATCAAAAAACCATTAATTTAAGCAAAGAAAAGCAAACACAAAACACAGAAATCCAGGACAAAAACAAAAACATGAATATGCATAACAATAATTTATTTTATTCTAATGATGATCCCTCAAAAAAAAAACTGGTAATAGGCAAAAAACTATGATTGATATGATTATTATAAATGTTCCCAACAAATTTTAATATTTAAGTTCTTAAAGTAGAGGAAATGTGTAGATATTACAAAAGGAATACACACACATGGTGAAAAACAAAAACGAATGCAAAAACAGAGAGAATATGAATAAATTAGTAAAGGATAATGAAAATGAGAAAACAAAACAAATGCAAATATAAAAAGAAAAAGAAAAACGCAAAAGAGCAGCGAGAAAAACCGAACATTTTATTGTTAAGAAAAAAGAAAAATTACTATATATTTTTACTAGATGAGATGCAAAAGCATATCTCTCCATTTAATTCCCTTTTCCTCCCCTCTTCCCTTGAAGAAACTACAATTACAATATTATTAAAATAATTCACATGATGTATAAAGCTGAATTTAAGTAGTAATTCTTTTTTATTGGAACCAAAAGGCATAACAAAATCCTAAAAACCAAAACAAATTGTAATGAAATGGAAACACACTAGAAATGAAACCAATTTAGAAAATAAAACTGGCAAAGTAAGTAATACAAAGATAAAGCAACCAAGAAAAACAAAGTCAAACAAAAATAACAATCGAATTATTAGAAACTTGCCTAATGGCTTAATCATAGTGGCAAGAGCAGCAAATGGTAAAAAAATTAAGAAAAAACAAAAAATATTAATTGTACCTTTTACATTATATCTTTACGTGCAGCTGGGGAGAGGGTGAGGACTTTTTCCTCTTTGACCGCCACTGCCACGTCCAAGAACAACTTTGCTGCCATTACCCTATGATTTCGCTATATGTATGTATGTATTTATATTTTTACATAAACAAATGCATGAAATCAGCCAAAAAGTGAAGATTTTTGGAAATCACTTAAGGCAACCAATCTCTTTTTATTGCAGTACATTTTTTTTTTATTAAAAATTTCGAATTCGCCTATATGCAATCGGTCTCGAAGATATGCGGTTAAACACTTCCGAACCTATATTTTTCATATACAAATATATTTTTAAGAAGTGAATTTATTACGTTTTGTTATACTTTTATTTGTATGTATTTGGATTTATATTAACAAACTGTTATACAAAAATAAATAATACCATTCGAAGCAGTGCTAAAATATTGTACATTGGCAAAACAATAAGCGCCCTGTAATTATCTTATCAAACAAGGAAGTAAAAATTGTATATGTATGTACATTTGAGATACAAAAATTCCGAAAGAAATAAACTGCATACATAACATGAAAGGAGGAAAAAAGAC